ACGCACCACCACCGCACCACAAAGTATGAGCAGAAGCCGCGCCCAAAGCCAGGGCCCCGGTAACGTGAGGTAGCCGAGTCGGGGCAGCGTGCGCTGACCCAAGCCGGGGCCGCAGCTTTGGGCGCGGTCTACCACATCCCCGCGGGCAGCCCCGGGCTATCACATGACACCGGGAGGACGCGCGGCCCCGGCTTGGGTCAGCGCACGCTGCCCCGACTCGGCTACCTCACGTTACCGGGGCCCTGGCTTTGGGCGCGGTCTACCGCACAACCTAACAGGCGTGTTCGAAACCGCAGGAGATGATGATGAACGGGTTTATCGAAACTTGATTGGATGAGCATATCGGTAATAGCGATTTCAGTGTGTGCATTTATTGTTCATAGTGGTGTGAAATGTGGTTGGGGTACGACCGACAACCCGTCGGGGCGAATTTCGCACTGGGGTACTCAAAATTTGAAGAATTTAAGACGTTTCCATGAGTTTTGAAGGTATGGATAAGTTCTAAAAATCCGGTTCTCCTTATCTGGGCTGGGCCATTAACTCCATACGGTCCAGGAAAGCTGGCACACTACCTTTAAAACATAAGACAGGTGCTCATCTCTAGATGGCACTCAGCACGCTTGACCTCTACTGATAAGAGCTCTGGTGCCACATGTCGGCATCGCGGTCAGCATCGATGAACGCGTTGCAAGTCTCTGGGATGAGAACAAAAAGGCCACGCTTGATGGTACTGACCCTCGCTTGGGGAACATGAAATGTGATCTGACGACGCACAGCTCTCGATGGTACGGCGAGCGGCAACTGCATGAGAAGGTACGAAGATTCTATCACATGACGGTGAACATTGTACATAAAGGTGAGATCGTGCTGGTTTCGCCGACTATAAGATAGACTTGCTAAGCCAGTCTGCCTTTGCAGTACAGCAGGCTGTAAAGCAGCATTGAGCCGACAGCGAGCACTGAGCCACATCAATAATTTGTTCTGTATGCGGTCGAGTCGTAACAAGTGAGTATCAGCCGCACCGGCCCAAATAACACTTCCGTACTCGAGAATTGAACGCACGTTAGCACAGTATGAAGTGATGATGGCGCGGGAATCACAAAGATAAAAAGATCGCCCATGTTTCCCTGTCTGGAATGACCTAATGAAAAGACCGAGGGCCCTGTTTGCTTTACGGACGACACTATCGATGTGACCAGCAAAAGTCAGTTTCTCATCGAGTACTACACCCAGGTCTCGCATCTCACTCACCCGTTCCAGCATCTCACCGCCTAGTGTGTACGCACCGGTGATCCGAACACGACGGAGCGAGAGTGACAGCACTTTGCATTTGCTTGGGTTGAGTGGGTTGAGTGACATGCCCCAAACCTGAGACCAGTGGAACAGGGCATCTATATGTTTTTGCAAAAAGAGACAATCATCCTGGCATTCTATCCTGTGATAAAGTTTGACATCGTCGGCAAACATGAGACAGTTCGAGTTCACAGAATCGGGCAAATCGTTGATGAAGCACGCGAACAATAAAGACGAGAGAAGACTGCCTTCGGGCGTTCCCGACCGCACAGGAGTCCATGCGGAGCATTTACCATTGACCACCACCCGTTGCATTCTGTCAGTAAAATAGGACTCAAGCCACGCTAAGGCAAGGCCCGAAATATTGTATGAATGACTCATCTTATGTAAAAGTAGGGCATGGTCGACACTTTGAAAGGCGGCGCTGTAGTCGGTGTATATCACATCCGTCTGTAAACCAGCTGACATGTTTTTCCACGCCTCGTGAAGCATAGTGGCCAAATTCGTCACGCAGGACCGTTTGGGTAAAAATCCGTGCTGTTGGCTACTGAGAACTGGCTTTACATGAGTCACTAGTGAAAAGTACACGACACGCTCAAGTACTTTGCTGAATAAGGTAGAAGTGATACAGAGCGGTAGTTTTCAGGCATTTCTGACCTTTTTTAAAGACCGGTATTATGTTAGCCTGCTTCCACGATCGAGGAACCCGCCCTGTTCAAAGGAAAGCTTGCATATGATCGTGAGCGGCACGGAGATTTCTTCACTACACTCACGTATAACACGAGCGCTCACTCCATCCGGACCACAGGCTTTATGTGGGCTGATGCTGGTCAGTATATTTTGGACCGATTCCGGAGTCACTGTGAACGCTCTAAGTGGGTCCAAAGGGTAGTCAGGAGCGGTCAGCAGCCGATTCGCATGACGAGTAGTGAATTTGCGAGCAAACGCGCGATTCAAGACTTCGGCTTTACCCACATCACTCGTTACCTTTCGAGTACCGTCCATGAGGAGTGTTATTCCACTGTTTCCCTTTGATCGGTTTTAGGAAAGACCAAAATCGCTTGGGTTTGTCTTCAGGTCACCCATACGTCCTCTGAGGTATTCGTAGAATTTCCGGTTTGTTATGTGCTTAAATTCTCTTCTTTTCGATCGTCGCTTTCAGTGTCGACCGATGGGTGCGCTTTGTGTCGCCGGGGCGGTGGGCGTTTTCTGGTCGCCCTCCGGGCGGCCGGCGACTCGCCGTCGAACCACGGAGGCTGTCGACGACGCAGGGTGACCCGACCCCCACCAAACACGATTTGGCAGCACTGTAATGAGGTCTGCTGGGCGTGAAGTTTTCCCTTCACCATAGGGTTTACACACAAACTGGTCAAAGTTTGAGCCAGGATATACTAGTCTAAAAATGCAAAAAACGAACAAATTTTGGCATCAATAGATGCAACATTTCATCGTGTACCTCAAACCGTCCATCATTTGGCCTCAAAGGAGGTAAAAATTGTTCAAAATCGAAGTTGAAAAGATGCTTTCTGAGCTCATAATCTGGTAGCAATCACGTGACCTGCTATAAGCAGCTTATCGATAATTTACAAACATAATTATTAATATGCTGCTTTAAACAACATTAATCTACATTTTGAGCTTTCAGTACTTTAAATAAGGTCAAAACATCGCAAAACACAAAAGTTAATACAATAGTCACGTGGGTGTCAGGAAATGTCACAGGTGCGTCAAATTTGTGACTGGGGCTTTACTTTCAAACATCGGATCTACCTGTTTCTTATAGGTATCTTGGGGTGACCCGGGGTAGGTATGTGATCTGCTTTTGCAGCTGTCAGCAGATCGCAGAAACAGTCGGCTGCTTCATCGACGGGGAGGCTCTCCAGCATGGACCACGGAGTTAGCCGCAGTGAAGCGCGGAGACCCTCCCAGTCAGCGCGTTTATAGTTGAGCGCTGCCTGTCGTGTTACCAGGGACACTGTTGTCGGCACGGCCCCAATCGTGCATACCACCTCCTTGTGGTCAGAGGGGAACACACCGACTCGCACCGCCGACTCCACAACCGGGCCATTGGACATGGCCAGATCGAGACAATTGTCCCCGCGCGTGGGCTGTCCGACATACCTACTGTCTCAGACCAGCCAGGAAGCAGCCGTCCAGCAGTTCTTCGGCCCGTCGGGAACGACGCGTGACGGTCGGTTAAGGTTATTTATCATGCATACTTACTGTTAGGTGAGCCTTCAGTATCCATGCTTGATGCAGTGCAGTAACCGGCCATTCGATACACTCATGCAGTAATCTAGGAAAATCGGTATAAAATCAAAACCATTTGACCTTTTTCTGTTATTTCTTCACAGGTAGATGTGCGATGGAACAATCGATCATGCATATCATTCATTCAACAATTATGGAAACTGCTTTCCCTTTTTTAATGCATTACGGTGTGTTTACTGCAGAAGCGAGCCTGTCTCAAATACCCCCACCAACTTTCGGCCTACAGGTTTTACGCCGATAGATATAAACGCAACAACTTTATTTGAAAATTTCACTATCGTTTACTTAGAAATAGTCCTAGATAATCATCCTGTGATTTTTAAAGCTTAGGAGCACATCATATTATGACAGCCCTAGCATAAAGTAATGCAATTTTTAGCAGACCGAAATGCTATGTCCACCGAAAAACGAAAAATTTGATTATAAGGGTTATATAACTGTAGTTGAAAAAATACTTTTTGCCAGAAGTATCAAAATTTAATTTCCAATCGTATGGCATTAAAAGAATTAGCCCTAGCTTGACCAATTTTCTTCAATATCCTTGCAACTAAAACTGTCTCAAATAGCCCACACTATGGGGCTATTTGAAACAGGCTTCAATAGAAAAAAATAGCTTTATTTATGGTTACTAGCTGATCCAAAATTAACCTATCTGAAAGCGGTTACAGAAAACTACGTTTTTGCAATTTACATGCCATAGGAAATATCAACCGTTTTGAAGGGAGAGGCCAAAAACAGTAAAATCAGTTTCAAATAGCTCCACTTTACGGTATCGTTTTTTTTACGTAAAAAAACATCATGCCAGGGCTATGGCGAAAATAAGTGGCCTAAATCCGATGAGAAAACAGGATTTGGGGGTACCCTAGATTTAGAGGAGACACTAGGGCGTTGGGCGAAGAACAGACCGTCCCCCCAACCAAAAGTCCGTGGCGGAGCCCTTGTCCTGGCATCCATTACGCCTTTTCACGCAACATAATTCAGAAAAAAGACATTAGCTCACAAGTGTTTGGCAGGTATTTTGAGCACGCGAGATGGCGTCTGTAACCCATTTAGGTCTTCGGCTATTGGGGGTTCAAATCACCTCCTCGGAGCTTTGGGGGGGGGGGGGGTCATTACCCCGTGGACCCTCCCTCCCGCCAGGATCCGCCACTGGTCAGGGAGGGTACTGTTGACCTCTCTCGCTGCTCCGGTGCCACTGGATGGGACGGTGTCGGCTTCGATACCACTGCCAGGGATGCAGGTTACGCTCAGCAAACGCAGCAAACCCCCAGACAAACGCTCTCTGACCGAACAGGGCTCGTCTCCGGCGCCACCGGCAGGGACGGTGCAGGTGGCTTATCGGGCTGACCAGGGGTCGGCACCTAATTATCAGCAGAGGCTTTCCATTTTAAAGCTCAAACAATCCTTTAACCGTCTAGCCAGTGAAACCCGCCTCGTATCAATGCTCGCCCCGGGTGTATTGTATCAGTTTACGTACATACATATTGCACATGGACCGTCAGATGGAGCTTTATACGACAGCCGCGCCGGCCGTATATTGAAATAAAACACGAAAGGAGCATGGGTACGGGGCCACATGGCTTCACTAGGTTTGGTTAAGTTAGGTCAGGTTGGGTCATGCTCTTTTAGGACCATGCTTTTTTTCGTGCTGAATTTCAATAACGGCGCGGCGCCGGCCTGCTCTGGAGCGGATCGACCATCACCCGCCCCGACGGTACGCCGCTCCGCTAACCGCTGACTGACAAACGCCGCCACAACAAAGCCATGACGAACTGGAGTCCCAGTCCACTGTCCAAATCCAATCACTGGAGCTGTACGGGCGTCAATGCTGTGCAGCTGGCGGCGCGCGGCTACCGACCGGTTGTTTTGCCGCGCCCGTTGCCAGCCGTGTCGCGCGAGCCCTGCGGTGCCAGCGGAGCTGCTTAGCGCATCACTGGCATCGTGGTGGCGGCCTTGGAGTGCGTGACGTCATCGGCACGCCAGAGCTGCGTCACCGTCTTCAGCTGGGTGTAGAAATTGATGCCCTGCCGACGCAGCCGGGCATTGGTAAATAAGCCAACAAACTACAGCGGCGTGCAGTCAACAAGCATACACAGACCCATACATGTGCAATGTGCATGGATCCGAGTGATGGTTCTATGATCCCATCAGATCCAGGTGAAAATGTATCCTGGATCTATAATCTCAGGAGCTGACGATAAACCAAAAACATGTATCTATGATCTGAGTGGATCCCACCATGCACAAAATTTAAAAACCAGGTTTCTGAGTGTTTCTATGTCAATAAGTGCCACAAAACTATGGATTGGGACCTGCAGCCACATAAAATCACTAAAAAGACCGTTTTTGAGATGCAATTAGTGATTTGTTTTGAGATTTCTGTGTTGACAAGAAGTAAACGAGGATACCATGCAACTCTCGCTGGATCTCAAGCAAAAAATAAAACTCGGATCTATGATCCCTACAGATCTCTCGATGATCTAAAAATATGGATCTATGATCTTGTCGGATCCGAGATCAGAATCCGTGGGATCAGGTCCAAGATCCATTTTCTCGGATCCAGGCACATGTCTGCGACAGACCACGAATGAAACCCGTCATCCTGTAATCCGCAATCCCACAGCGCAGACTTCTTAATCGAATCGCCACTGGCATTGTCGAGCGGAGCGAACCGACGCCAGCGGCCCGAGGGACGCAGAGCACCATAGCGTGCAGCCCTCGTCTCACTGCCTGGTAGGCATTACTTTTTTGAGTAAACCGATAACAGCTCAAAGGTTAAGTTGTCAGTCTTCTAAAATCATATCACAGAGACGTGCGATGTTTCACCCTTCCGAAAAGGTTTATCATTAATCAACTTATCCACCTAGTGTGGCAGCTTTTGGTAAAAGATTGTTCAAACACCAGCTTCAACCCTCGCCGACACAGACCATTTCGCGTCCTTCGAGGGCACAAGGGGGCGGGGGGTTGGTACGACCCCCCCCCCCCCCCTCGCGTTTGGCCCTTGATCGAGCTAGAGCTTCGCGGAAAAAACGAGCGTGTTGCCCGTGACGCGAGGAAGCCAGCCGATGATAGGTACCCACTTTTAATGACCTAGGTCATAGGTTGACCTTCCAGGTCAGGTCAATGACACAAAAGTCGGGAAAATCGGGACCTGTTAGAACGTCGTTAAGTGTGGCTGCTGTGGGCTTTTCGGGGTGCTGATCACGACTATCATGTTCGTTTTGATCACAGATGATGTCTGTATGCAGTTAGGTCAGGTCGGGTCAGGTCAACCAGTAGGGGTCTTGCCGGGTATTCGTAGTACGTGTCAACCGCCTCTGACAGCTTCGTAACATGTTACAAATGCACCAAAACTACTTCGTAAGTGATCAAATGGTTGCTAAATTCGAATTCGGCTCCAAAAACTAGCCTAATGTAAAACTCGAAAAACTGAACCGAGGTTATCAAAGGTTATCAACCTGACCTGACTTTCAGATAGCCTTGACATAGGTACTCGTACACTCTAATGCGTGGTCAAATCACACGTTTGAACGCTTGAAACCACGAAAAGATTGCAAATGCGCGGCTAATGAGAGCCGACATACGCCGAATCGCGATTCCGGTCTAATATGGTCTCGAAAAGTAGGTCACAGGTCAAAGGTCAATTGGGTCAGGACACAGACTTCTCTATAAATGGACTGTGCGCTGATCCGAGGAAATCAGCATTGGAGGCACAAAAATAAGAGCACTTTTATGCATCTTTTTACGATGAAAAGGGTGTCAGAATATTTACAAATTTGGATATATAACATATAACATAACATATAACATATATTGATTGCAACGACAGGCCACTGGTGCCCAACACGGCTGCAACATATGATACATCAAAACAAGAACACTAGCGTCATGGTAAGAACGTCATGACTTCATCTCCTTTCACATCAGTATCATTCACAGGTACATATTTCAGATCATATGCACAACGGACACCATAGCATTTCAATTTTATCTAATCGTCAATTGTGTCAAAAATGGTACCACGATCTATGAAGTAAAGGTCAATAGAATGTTTAAACTCGTTAAGTGAATTACTTGAAATGACCCAGGATGGCAGATTATTCCACAGGTCAATTACTCTGTGTGTAAAAAATGATTGCCGTAGTGCTGTTCTCGCTGACTTTTTAACTAATTTACAACTATGACCTCTAGTTTGATTCGAATTAATTGTTAACATATTTGTGAAATTTAATTTATCTAGTCCAGCGTATATCTTAAAAAAGTTCAATTAAATCGCCTCTAATTCTGCGATAATGCAGAGAAAACATATTTAACGAAATCAGTCTTTCTTTATAACTCCTTTTCTCTAAGCCAATTATCATCTTAGTTGCTCTTCTTTGGATTCTTTCTAACGATCTTTCATCTTTTTTGAAGGAAGAGTAACACGCTTGCCTGCAATATTCCAAATGTGGTCGTATGAATGCACAGTAAAGCATTTTCATTACATCTTTGCTTTTGTAACTAACATTTCTTTGTATTGCCCCCAACATTTTCAGAGCCTTCTTTCGTGCTTCCTTGCAATGGTGACTAAATTTTAAATCATCCGTTATCAAAACACCCAAATCTTTTTCCTCATGGACGACTTGTAAGATATTTCCATTTATATTATACGTGTAGCATTCTTTCGCCCCTAAGTTGAGAACTTTGCACTTATTAATGTTAAACTCCATCTGCCATTCTTGCCATAGAGATCTTATATACATGAATTCATTCATGTATATATGAATGAATATATGAATGAATGTATATATGAATGCATATATGAATTCATTCATAGAGATCTTAACAACTGACGTTTTGTTTCAATGACGTCAATTGTTTCATGTGGCTTGAGAATGAACTGTTGTTCGAAAATTTGCCAAAAAATGTAATATTTACTTTTTATTGAATTTCCAATTAATTATCGAGGAAAAGGTCATTTAAAATCCTAACTACATAGAGCCAAAGAAGCTTGCAATGGCGTCCTTCAGCCGCATAATATCCTGGGGACTCTCCTAATAGGCCTCGGACTTTGCATAGCCCCCGAGGAAGAACTCTGCGACGTTGAGATCCGGCGAGTGTGGCGCCCACCGGACCTCAGCGCTCTTTGAAATTTCCGGGGTTCGCTTACCATTTTTTTTTTCTGCCGTGTTTTTCATTGAACCGTACATGTCCTCTGTTATGAATTCATTAACAATTCTATTAATTGTTATCTCCATTGGAGCTTCCCCCTGGGTGCATGCCCTCAGACGTGCAGAAATATCTTGGTGTTTGCTTAACGGACTGCGTTAAATTATATAAATTACACCTATTTACATTTTGCTGCACTGTGTACATCTTGAGCGATACACACAGACCAGACCAAGGCAGAAAAAAACTTCATAAAATTTTCTACTAGCACCTGAAATTTCACGCGCAAATATGCAATCCTTTTCAAGAGAGATCAACTAAATAGGTCGCACGGCTATGAATCACCCTGTATATATGTTGAAGGCGAGCAGTGGCATGTTTGAGCATTATTGTTAGAAAAATAGTATGGAAAAATAACCTTATGCTCATTCTTTGATTATTACTTTGATTTGATTATTCTTTGATTTGATTGCTAAGGCAGCATTTGTTCCCAAAAGAAGACCCACGTCACCCTCCACCTCAGCTATTTGAACTCCTCTCTCGCGAAGATATTGGTACATATGACGGCTTGTCTGAAAATCGTTTCGAATGACTGAAATATGTTCTAATGTTAGCAGTGGTGGCAACGATAGGCAAAAGGTGTTACTAAGATCTTTGATGAGTACATCACGAACCACATGGCTTGGGAGACGAGCTTGATTTCGAACAGTGGTTAAATACATAGTTATAGCTTCATCGGGTCGGTATTGCAGCTCCTTCAACAGCGAATGTAAACAGAAGGAATGTGTCGAACCAGAATCCAAAAAGGCATTTGTCTTAACCATAGCCTTGGTCTTAACCAAGGCCCTAAAACATAAGGTTGGACGAAGTTTTCTACCAAAAATGTACTCGAATAGCGTACGAGTCAAAGCTATTTCCGTTGTTTCTTTACAAATATGTCGCAAACAAGCTTTTTCTGTAATAAATCATTATTTCGAAGTCAAACAACCAGTTGCTATTAATTCGATAAGCAAACACTTATTTTTATATAAAAGCCTAGCTTATATAGTCCAACTCTAGTTGAATAATCAAGTAGCTACTAAATTTTCCAGATGTGACACATATTGCGCACTTCAGACAAATGCGTTGCTAAGGCGTTGCTAAGGACTCTTTCGCATGTTTTGCTGCGTGGTTTTTGTAGTTCTCTATATACCGTGGTTTTTGTTACGAAGTGAGGGAAGTGAGATGGACAGGCTTTTTGATATTTTTTTCTGGTTTTCTAGGACCGTCGCAATTATTTGACTTGACATACTTTTCTTGCTTTTTTATCCGAGACTTTTTCAATAATTGGTAGATTCTATCGTGGAAATAAAAGGGCCAGCAGGCCACAGGGGTAAATGCGAGTCGACTGATAGTGAAATAAAAGGTAGAAGTGTCTACTCTGTTCCATTAGAAATTTAATGTGATGTGATGGAACATGAAGCAACAGGATCAGACGCAAGAACCACCAATTAAGAACCCAGAACCAGCAAGCGCCATGCCATCAAGAGCAGCCATGGCAACATTTGATTAGCTTTAAGAAAACCTTGGAACTAGACGCCAGACGGTGAGCAATCAAGAGATCGTACAAGACCAGTAGTTGCTTGAAAACGAGAGCCACCAGGAAAATCAGTAGATTCTTCAATGGCAACACATTTCAACATCTATCTAGCAATTATTTGCACCAGCAAGGTGCTATCATTGTGTTTTGTGTCTGTATCCCTAACTGCTCAAAAATATTTGTCAATAAATAAACAAACAAATAATGCGTCTTTTTCTACTGAAAGTAAGTCCTCCAAGTGGCAAGGGATGAATAATAGAAGGTACCTAATTAATTGCCATCTATTCATTCAATTCA